TACCAATTATTAGCGAAAAACAGCATTGCCTCTGTGTAATAAAAACTTTGTTAAAGTTATTCTGCCGTCTTATTGTCTTATTGACAGATCGCAGGGTTGACAATTAGGCGGCACTTCCTGTAATATCAAATTTAGAGAAAATAATATTAACCAGGATATTGTAGTCACGTGATGAGGAAGTTACAACGGTGGACAAAACTGAAGTAGGAAATATTCAAATTAGGCATTTCTGCAGGAGACTACCTTTTGTCTCAAATTTGGTATTATTTAAAGTGAGAAAAGTATTTAGTATGCACGGTCAATTTTTTTCCCTGAATCATTTCTTGGTCGATCATTTAGGTGTAGGTGGAGGGAAAGGTCATTTATTGAAGTACGCATAACTTAATTATGGTATCTTTCCTGCGGAGTATAATATAAAAAAGATTTTAATGAATGAAGCTGCAATTTTTGATTTTTCTTTGTGATGACCGGATAACCTAAAGCATTTTTCCTTTTTTAAGAAGAACTGATCGGGTTCGGATAAGATATTGCTGCTGCCATTGTCATATGACCTAATGCTCCAATTAAAATTATGTTTAAGTTGAGATGCCGTTAAGTTGGAGGAGAAACACATGGTACACCGCTGCAGAGAGGGGCCGGCCGCCCAGCTAGTTTGATAAATTTAATTCTGGTTTATATAGGTTATCTAATTATTATTAATAACGGAAGAATTATATCAAAACAATGGGAATTTCTCTGACATACTAGTAAACGTTTTTTTGTTAAGTTTTTCATGAAAGTCACAAAAATGTTTTTGTGACTCGATTCTGCGTTTATTTTGAAATTGTTTGATCGGGTTTTGAGCTTTTGGCTGTGCTGATTTTTTTTTTAATTTTGTAGTTTCTGATGTACTGAGACTGTTTTAGTCAAACGAAAGATTATCCTACTATCAATTTGTGTCCGTCCAGTACAGCAGTTGAAATAATGTTCACAAAATAATTCAGGGCTGCATTTTTTTCAAATTAAGTTGAACACACGTGTTTAACTTGCTAATCTATTACAGATGGCGCCTTAATATTCAGTTTACAAAATGACCTTGCACAGAAACTAGCTGCTATTGATTGGTCGGGTTTTGATGCGCAATTATTTGTTTTTTAATAAAAGTTTCAGTTTTGTTTTGCAAACATATTCCTTTGCATCTTGTCAAATGATATTTTATTCAAGTAAAAGCGCCGTAGCTTTTTGCAGTTTTTATGGATTTGATAGCCATTTTTAGTTTTTTAGGGCGAATTTTGTTTGTTTTAAAGAGTCGATGAACATAGTTCAAACTCATATAGGTCGCGATTATTTTTTTGGAAAAATCCTAAAATTTGTTCAGGCTCAAACTTACTTATTCACGGTTCGAATTTTGATTTTGTTCCTTCAGTTCATTTTTTTTGTTAAAAGTAAGACAAGTTAAAAAGTAAGACAAGTTTCCTTTGTTAAAAGTAAGTTCAGTTCATTTCCTTTGTTAAAAGTAAGACAAACTCAACCATCGAGCAGCGAAAGTGTACAGGTAACAAAAACGTGATCGACTTCTAGTTACACCGAAGACTTTAGTCAAGGTGTTATGGTATCGTGTAACGGGTTTTTTTTTTAATGTTGTCTGTTGTCAAGTGTCGACAAATAACGTCCACAGTTATCAATTATCATGTGGGCTGGACTATATCGCGCTATGTCACGTGATTGCGTATGTTTGTTTCTTTATTTGTTCATCTTTATTTATTTAATTATCTGTTCTTCTATTTATTTAATTATGTTTAGTTTGCTTATATTTATTTATAATTTATGTATGTACATATTTATTTTTGTTTATTTTTATCACGTGTTTTGTTTATTTATTTAATTATTCTTTCTTTCATTTAGTTTTGCTTTTATTATTTCTGCGTGTGTATTTATTTAATTTATTTATTTTCCTTTATTTATATTATGGGTCTGTTTGTTTAGTTATTTGTTCATATATATTTTTTCATGCCTATTTATTTATTTGTACATTTCACTTTTGCTTTTATTTATTTATTTATTTATTTATGTATTTATTTATGTATTTATTTATTTATTTATGTATTGATTTATTTTTTTATTGCTTATTTATTTATCAGGTGTGTTTTGTTTATTTGTTGATATTTATTTCTATATTTATTTAATTATTCTTTCTTTCATTTAGTTTTGCTTTTATTATTTATGTATGTGTATTTATTTCATTTATTTATTTTCATTTATTCATATTATGGGTCTGTTTGTTTGGTTATTTGTTCATATTTATTTTTTCATGTCTTTTTAATTATTTGTACATTTCACTTTTGCTTTTATTTATTTTTAGCTCACGAACTGTTATTTCAGGCCCTTTGTCAATATAGTAAAATTTTGGTGTATACATGTGTTAGTACGATTTTTAGTTCTAGAAGTGTTATTTTATGATCTTCGTTGATATATCAAAAATTTAACCTATACATGTGTTAGTACGATTTTTAGTTCTAGAACTGTTATTTCAGGCTCTTTCTCGATATAGCAAAATTTTGGTGTATACATGTATTAGTACGATTTTTTGTTCTAGAACTGTTATTCTTCAATTATTAGTTGTTCAAGTTGTTTGGTTTTTGCTTCAGTTTCTATGCCTTCGGTGTATTGCGCGTAGCGCCTATGTTTTTGAAAATGCAATTTATTTTTCAGAAGCCCCAACCTTTTTGATCTAGTTTTCTCAAATTGTGTTTTTTTCCAAAAAATTGCCATTCTTAAACTATTCTTAAAATTCTTAAAAGTCAGTATTTTTTCTGTTTATTTGTGTGCATTTACTCTTCTGCAACTGTCCGTTTATGTTTGTTATTGTTCCCACAACTCAAAGCGGACAGGATTTCGTCATCGGCTTGCTTTTCTGAAAAAAAAAATATTTCCCTCGCAATCAGGTACCACAAATACTTATCGGAAGGGGTAGAGTGATAAAACATATCAAAAGCCCTAAAAGTCGTGATTGCAGTTTTTTTGTTCCGAACATTGAAAATGGGGAAGAACTTTGTATTCGGGTGTGTTTTATTTTTTTATTTTTTGTTTTACAAATGATGATCGGACTGCGTTGAGTGATATATCATATTAAAGCCCTTTCAGTCGTGATTCGAACGACATCAAAAATTTCAAAAAGTTTACCGGTGTCGAGAAAAACCGGTTTGAAATTTTGATTTTTCGTCTAATTTCGAGCTAGTGAGCAGGCTTACATTAGCTTATTTATGCTTAATTTAAGCATTGAAAATTAAGTTTTACCCTAATGAAGTTAGTTTTTGGACTTAATAGCTTCATCTTAGGAATCAAAAAGTTTTGAAAAATTATTTGGGAAAATTTTTTTAAAAAGTTATTAAAAAAATTAATTTTTTTTTCGATTTTTTTGTTTGTCTTCAAAAATTGTTTTCCCATTTGTATATTTCACATAACTGGCGAAAATGCATAAGCTCTACGCTTTTGCTCAGATTTCTTTATCACACCAAGCCGAATTAAAATTAAAATTGAATCTAGAGAATTTTCCAGTGCTGCAAAAAACCGGGTTGAAATTGAAGCTGATTTCAATTATTCGGACCAAAGGAAAAACACAGGGTTAAATCTCCAAAAACTTCTGTAAGAGAAAGTGTTTTTTCTTGATTGCCAAAAATAGTATATATATATATATATATATATAAATTTCACACGTTTTGCGCTTTGTTTTGGAGATTTTGCTCTTATAGAACTTTGTTGGGCTGTGTAAGAGGATCCTTGTGATATAAATTTCTCTTTAATTAACTTGGTGTGCTCAGCATTAAACAATGCGTCATCTTAAATCTGGTGACATTCAAAGCACTTTGTTCTGTTCCTTTTTTGTCTAACCTTAACCCAATTTGAGAAAAGCGCGCTTGAAGATTCCGTTGTTGCTCATTTTTCCCAGATAATTCGAATCAAAATTGTATTTTCGATCGAGTAACAAGGATGTTTTATAAAAAAAATTAATGAAGTAGAAAAATAACTCTGTTTTTTAAAGTTTTTTTTTTCATTTTATAGTAAATTTTTGAAGACAACATTGTCGCTTTTTCTAATTCCCTAACTTTCCCCGCGTTTGTATAGTTCTTTTATCATATACGCACAATCAAAAAACTAACTCTAATTTGAAAAAAAGTTAGTCGGAAAATTCTGTGCTAAAAGTACAGCAACTGGCTATCCTTGTTGAACTTTTTTTGTTTTTTCAATTGACTCAAATTTAATACCACTAAGAAATCAAAATGTTGTTACGTGAAACGCGTGTTTTCGAGTCAGTGCCACATGAAGAGGTTTCTACTGATAAAATTTTAGCAAGTGGCAAATGAGTTTTCTACATAGTAACACTAACTGGATAAGGAAAAAGTTGAAGCTGCTCTATGATTTTTTCCTTTTTTTGTTTTTCAAACCTTATGACCCATTTTTCACACAAGCCAGCTTGCGATCTTTATTTTTTTTAGTGTGATTTGCTTGTTTTAGTGTGAACTGCTTGAACCTAACTAGCAAATAAAAGTGTTCATTGAAATAGTTCACTTATATGGAAATTTCACTGTAGCATTGGAAATTGCAGAGCATATGTACTCTGCTTTATTTTGTGGCTAGTGTTTGTGACTGAGTGGTAAGTGTGTCTGTGGCCGATTAAGCCTCCTTGGTTAAGTGGTTAGACTCATAATCTCTAGGTCGTAGGTTCGAATCCGCGACGTAACCGAATTTTTTTTTTACTAATTCGAGGTTTATTTCTACTTTTTCCTTTTGCATTTTATATAGCTACTTTTTGTTGCGCCTCTGTGTACAAGAATTAGAAAAAAGCCTGTGATTATAGCTACGGGAAAAGTTAGCTGTAAGATTTCAGGACGGAAACTAGTCTAGTCTGAAGCTGAGTTAGTTCGTTCACATTTTAATCTTAGCTAGCATGAAACTAAGTTAGTTTGCATCAGTAAAAAGTTGACTAAAATCAAGTGAAGATTCAGATGGCTTAATTCTAGGGCAACTCAAACGGCGGAGGAGTTCAATTGTCTGCACCAGCTTTGACTTCTTCGATGGGGGCGAGAGCAAGTGCAGTGGTGAACGAACTCTCTTACACTTTGTTCAACAACCACAAACCACCAATCAACGGGTCTTCGTCTTCCTCATCAAACCCCAGGTAAGGACCACTGTTTATTGATTAAAATATATTTTGTGCGGTTGACGAATTTATCAATAATCATGAAAAATAAAATATGCTTGTGTTTGCAAAGTGCAGCTTCGCCTCCGTGGTAGTTTTGACATGATTGGTTTCTCCGAGAATAAAAAAACTTCGTTTACTGTAGTCAATTGATGGTGCCGGCCAAAATGGGAATCAAATGTATGGGCAGCGGAAGTGCTAACAGTGCCGTGAGCAGAAGTGCCGCTCTCAATCCATACGGTACCAGAACGAGCAAAGGGTTCCCTCTATTCACAGAGGAAAGACTGAGGGAAAAACAGTTGAAGGTAATTGACCTAACACCCTTTGAAAAAAATTTACGATCTTTTTGATTTATTAAGTGTAAGACATTTTTATAAGTCGTGTTGTTTTCTTACGAAAAAGTCGTTATAAGTTGTTCACCATCAAACTTGATTTTGCGCGATTGGACTTTCGATTACACGAGAATGATACTAAAAGGCCACTTTTATCCAACTGAAGTTTTTTCCTGTTTCCACCGGATGTTTTTTCCTGTTTCCACGAGATAAGTTAAACAAGCAACGCTTGCGTGTTAAGATTGTTTTTTTTTTTCATTTAGTTCTATTTTTTTGGCGTTTGCAAATAGCGTTAAATATGGAGGCGAATTATTTGCTGACTGTTAGTTAATATTAAAGTATGCCGGATAATTTTATAATCCAAGCAGCAGTAGATTACTGGTTTATTCGCGGCTTTATCTCTGTGCTGCTTCGCCTCTGTGTCATCTTTTTTCAATTGCTTTCGATATAGTGCTATATTTTTTTGTTTTTTATAAGGCCCCCGGCTCGAATCCCACCATTCACCCTTGGGCCTTTTTTCCGTGGGGAGGAGAGATTTCATCCATTTTGCCGCAGACTGTCCCACCTTGAGGAAGCGGATGACACTGAGGCACCCTCCGAAGCGGGATTCAAATCCGATACCTTAACCACGGCTGCTCGTCTAAATTTGTTCATCCTCCGTTGCTTTCAAGCTCGATTTTGAAATTTTGGTAAACCGCGACTAGTTACTTTTACTCAAAATCGTAATTATATACACGCTTTAATTGCTTATTTTCGACGCTTGGTTTACGCCTCATTATGGCTGCCGTAAAACTTTTTTCTTCCGTAAACAATTTTTCTTATACATTTGTATGAAATTGATGTGGCTTTATTGTCGAACCTTAGCAAAATCCAGGTCCATTTCCTTTTAGTTAGGAGGTAATAACGTTACATTAGCACCTTATGGCCTAGGGTTTGAGTCCCGGCCGGACTTTTTTTTCAGAAATTGAGTTGTTTTCCTGAAAAATTGAATAGTCTGACTGCTGTTTGTCAACTTATGATTTTTCGGCTTAATTTCCACACCACATTTTTTGGGATATAAGCAGTTTTCATTGTAGTTATAAATTAGAAGTGTTTTTGATTAACTCCGGTAGTTTGTAAGTTTGCTATCCATGATTGGTGTATTTTTCGTTTTTTTTCTAAATTTTGTGCCTGGAAATTTTTTTGGCCTAAATGATTTCGGCTTATGTTTTGTAGATGTAGTAGAACTGTTTTTTATCGACTTAACGTCAAATAAAGTTTTTTTTTCAATAAATCAGGTGGGATGATGTTAAGTTTAAAATTCAAAAAGTTTATTGCTCAAATTTTTTATGACAATTTCTTGTCCAATTTTTCTCCGATGACAAATTTTTTTCCGTCAAAAAATGATTAGTTTTAATTTGAATAAATAATGTCAGTTGAAGTTCAAAATTCAAACAATTTTATCGCTCAAAATATTTTTATGACAATCTCGTTTCCAAATTTTTCCGATGACATATTTTTTCGGTAAACTTCGGATTTTTCTTTGTTTGCTCAAATTTATATGGCTTAGTTGCCACATCACGAAATTTATTTGTGCTATTAGCAATTTTCATTGTAGTTGCAGGTGCATGTTTTGTTCAACGTATTTTCAGGTGGGACTTTTTTTCTTATAATTCCAGCTCAGCTTGTGTCTGCTCAAAGGCTTTGGGCTCAGTAGTTTTATCACAGAATTGTCTTGTTTCATAAGCAACTTCATTTAAGTTACAAGTGCAAGTGCTTATTATATTTTCAGGGGGGACATGAAATTTTTTTTATAAAACCATTTTTTTGCTCAACTTGTGTCTGCTCATAGGCTGTCGGTGTAGTTATCTTATCGCGGTTTTTTCGAGTTTGTTAGCATTTTTCATTGAATTTTTAAGTGCAAGTGGTTTCAGAGGGGACAATTTTACAAAATCTTTTTTTTCGGCTCAACTTGTGGCTGCTCAAAGTTTTTTAGTTTTACTATCTTCTGTTGCTAATTTAAGATTCATTTTTTTGGCATTTTTCCCTTAAAAAAACTTCAACCGAGACTTACAAAAAGTTCAATTTTTATGTTTGTGTTGTATCGCAAGTGATACGAAGCTCCGCTTTGCCTATGTTTAGCTTGTTTTTTGATGGAACCAATGGTTGCTATTAGTAAGGCTGCTAGGTAAAGAGCAACATTTTCCTCAGGCATGAAGTGTCCCCGCGCGATGGCTGCACTCTGTCACCAATTTTTGCAGTTTTCAGACAGTGTTTCTCTGCAGTTTTCGGGCCCTTTTTTAAAAAGTCTAAAATTGTCATCAAGATTCGAGTGAAGAATTTATAGGTCGCGATGCTTTTTCGCAATCATAAATCGTTCTGGAAATTCAAGGAGCTTAAATGGCATCTATTTTTTTCTTTTAAATTCGAAAGTTGAGATTTTTTCAACAAAGTCTGTTTTTTTTGTCTACTTGTTTTCATTACTCTTTTCCAATCTTCGATTGGCTATGTTTGGATTTTGCAGCCGAATAAAAAGTACCCTATGAACAAGTTTTCTCGAATTGGGTTCGTTTCATTTAAAATAAGTGTATGCTCAAAAGATTCTTGAGTTTAAAAGATTTTTGAATTTCAAAGAGCATTTACCCCGAAGTTCGAAATTTGAAAAATGGTTTAGAATTTTTTTTTCAAGTTCCCTGAAACTCTTTCAACTGTGGGTTTTCTATGTTTTACCGTTAAATCATATTTTTTTCAAGCAAATCTGTTTTTAAGAGTAATGAACGTAGTGAGTACTCTTATATAGGTCTTGCTGATTTTTTTTCAGGAAAAAGTCTTAAAATTTGTTCTCGCTCAATTTTAATTTTTGCGGTTTGACTTGTGGTTTCTTTTTAAGTTCAGTGAATTTCCCTTGTTAAAAAGAAGGCAAACTCCACAATTGAACAGCAAAAGTGTAAAGGTCACGAAAAACGAGATCGACTTCTGATTTCGAAAATGGAAATTAGTTATCAAATTTCCAGCGAAATAAACGTTTTACCTATTGATCCAGTTTTTTCAAATTGGTTTAATTTTAACAATAAAATTTTCATTATAAATTGTTCTACAAATTCAAAGATATTCAAGGCCATCTATTTTTTCACGAAATTCAAAAGTTTTCTTTTCAGTTTCCTTGCGTTCATTACTCTTTTCCAACCGTTAGTTGGCTATGTTCATCTAATTTTGGTATTGATTTTTTCGCCTCAGTTCGTGATCTAGTAATCAAAAATGAACGAAAACAAATAAGTAAACGCAATTTTTTTATAGCCATCATATAAATAGAATTGAAAACGTATTAATGAGCGCACGGAAACAGAAAAAATGATTTATTATTGTCATTCATTTCAGTTGAGTTTTCAGCAAGAGTATATTCTGAAGACGTTGCAAGAGCGCCACGACACTTTAGCACGCGTAAAAAGCTTCAAAACTTTATAATAGTTGCCTGACTTACCAGATTGTCTGTAATTTCCTAAATTAGTAGTCTGTTTTTTGCAAATTTCTATTCAATCTGGAAAAAATGCCACTGATCGAAAACTAACAAACTGATTCGCTGTTTTATCTCCTGCGATGCATTTCTAACAGTTTTTCCCCATTTCATAGCTTGACAGACAAAAATAGATCGTTTTGACAATTACGCGATTGTTAATAAAAATAGTACAAAATTTTGGAAATATTGTTACTAGTTTAATTTTTTTATCATAAAAACCATAATCTGATATCATAATTGTTAGGAGGAACTGAATTTACATAAGCATTGGTGCGCCAAAGTATATGTTGATCTCAGATTGAACTAGATCTCAGTATAAAGTCTCTCAGATAAAAATAGGAGAACTGTCGTAAAATAGGAGAACTCTACTTAGGAGAGTTTAACTGAATTTGGTTAGAAGTTTTTTCTAGCCATGAAGTTAAACTAAAAGGTGGAGCTTTTAAAATCCGAATTTAAGTTTTGGACCAATTGAGTTCTGACGGCGCGCTTTCCAACTCAAAACTGTGAATAATGGTGTCCAAAGCTTATTATATTTTATGAGTCAGTGGAAAAAAATAAGGAAGAAAAAAAAGTAGGACCAATTTATCACTCTCTAGATTGTATCGAATTTAGAGCATAATTTGATGCAATTTTAACTTTCTTCAAGTGGGTAGAAACATGCCTCAAGTATCGTAGAATTAGCTTATCCCCCTTGCGCGAGATTGGAAAGAGGAGGGGTAGTGATGCTTAATTGATCCAAAAAGTACGAGGAGGGCCAAGGAGGCTCTCAGAATAGAGGGAAGCGTCCCCTGGGCTAGATAGTTTTTTCTTTTTTCTGTCCAACTATTTAGTTCAAAACAAGGGAGGTCATAAAAAATTATTGAGAACTCAAACGATTTTATTTTTCGCTTTGCTTCCTTTTTTACTAGTGACAATTTTTCTTTCAATAAATTTTGCGGCACTTCTTTTTCCGGCACAGTGTCTCTCTGAATACAAGCATCAGTAATTTGAATGAGTAAACTAATTTGATGATTTACTGCTTAAATCACTTCACGCTATCTCTTTTAACTCTTCGACTGCTGATGGGAACTTCAGAAGTAACAGGATGAACTCTGTCTTTAAACAAGTGTGATTAGAAAGGGTAATTTAATCAGTCAGATAGAAGAAGAAATCAGGCTTCAGAAGTTGCCTGGGGGATGCGTAAGAGGTTGATCCAATTCAGAGCGTTCATTCAAAACAAAGAACAATAAAAGCTAAAATGGGTATTTTAAGCTATAAGCATGACTATAATTGCGATTTTGATGCGTCCATTGAAGACTTCAGTTTTACTCTTAATGGTTATTTTCCGTTTTGTAAATCAAAAATTGTCAAAAAAGTGGTTAGGCGGAATAAAACCAGGATAATTCATGTCTTGATTAAAAAACGTGCGAAACAGCTCAGGTCTTGATTGCTCTTGCTCAAGAATGAACGAATGCTCGGTAAAATCCAACGCCACAGAGCTCAGATTTGACCGCAAAATGGTTTTTAAACCGAGTAAGTTGCTTAAACATTGAATATGTTGCAAAGAGAAATCACGATCCGTGTCTGTCCAACTGGATTTGAAGTCCGTTTTCACCTTTGTTTTGTTTCATCGAGCTCATTTGTTCTGTTTAGAATAATATGGTGATACCTGCCTCTTCGAATTTATTTGACAGTCCAACTGTTTGGGGAACTAAAATTGAGAGCAAAACGGGGGGACTATACCCCAGAAACGAGAAACAACAACCTTCGAAATTGATGAGGAATGGCAAGGGGGCCACCCAGGAACCTCATGGAAAGGCGAGTGCTATTGCTTCGAGTGTAATAACGGCCGCACTGCCCACTTCTGTTGTTCACCGCAATGAGGGGGTGCCGATTATATCGAAGACACAGTCAGCAAGCTCCAATATGAGGTTAATTGTGCTCAGTAATTTCGAACAGTTGTGGATTTGGACACAAGTCTTGAGATCCTTCTTAAACTATTCCTGCTGAAGGGAAGGGGGAGTAATTGTGATGCCCGTTTTGGCCAAACTAAATTTTGTTGGCCTACAAACGAGTACAATGCGAATAATTTAGATGATTTGCACAGATTTTGACCTACTTGCGTCTTAGCTTCCTATTTTCACGCAGACAAGAAAATGAGATTGAATTTTAGTATTTCAGTTGGTTATGTTGGCTTTCTAGCCTTAGCTTGTAGAATATTTAAGTCACCTTTATCTTTTGTTTGCATTTCAATTTCCTCAAAATTTTTTCAGTTTGAAGTTTAGTACGCTAAATTTGCCTTTTCCGTCCGAGAGAACTTGGTTAAAAGAAATTTTTTTTCTCATAATGATGAAAAAACACGATTATTTCATTATCTCAAATGATATCATTATTAAATCAGAGAAGCATGGTTTAAAGTATGACGTATTTTTCATGTTTTATGTTTTTAATCTTAATAAATGCTTCCGCAACATTTTGACCGCAAATAGTTTTTGGGTCAGAAATGATGGAACAAAAGCTTGTGGGTTTTTTTTTTTTAAATTAAGTATGCTTGAATGCACTAGCAACACATTTGATACTATTGTACGATAGCCATTTCTGACTGACCGGCCCTTGAAATGTTCTGAAAGCAGAGTTATGTCATAGATATTATTTTTGAGGGGAGAGGGGCGGTGCGCGCTGAGAAACGGCGATCCGAAATATTCTCCTAATACAATTATTCAGGGAGTTCAACGGAGCTTGAAAATTTCCAAATAGATGACTTAAAAGAGGTCAACAAATTGTTTCAACAAAATCTGCTAAAATTAGCCTGATTTGGTTATCTGATAGCTTCTTTGTATTACCAAGTAATGAGATTATGTATTTAAACTAAGAAACCTTAGGCTAATTTATTGAACATTTCAACAAGTTTAATTTTCGGGACCGTATAGCAAGCTTTTGTATACCAATAATCAAACTGATTTAATTTTGATCTCTTTTCGGATAATTGGGTTATTTGATTAGCGTAAAATGTTGCCTATGAGATAGATGGTGTTGATTAAACGAAAAACCTAATTTTTGTAAACTTTGAAGTTAATGATTTTTGAGACTCTATGGTGAGATTTTGCATGCTCATATCTGAGCTGATTACCCTGTTATTAAAAAAAACTACTTGGTATGCCTCACCCTAAAACTCTTATCTGCACTTAACACTTTTTTTCTTGAAAAGTAACATAAGCCTGTTTAATTGTCTTTTTATGAAATTTCATTTAGGGTTCTAAAATTTACTGCTTTAAATTTTGACTATCTAAGCTACCAAGACACTTTTCTAAAAAATTGTTATCGATTCCTGATCGAGAGCTACTCGTTTCCTGAAAATAGCTTCAAGAACCTAATTGCATTTGACGACTCGACTCGATATGTGAGCTTGAGAAAACTATTTCACGCAGATGATGTGCAAAATGATAGTGCGAATTCTGAAAAATTAGATTTTCGAACCCTCAAGAATGTAAGATCCAGTAAAATCATGATTCAGGACACTTACCTCAAGAATATAAGATCACGAGTCAGTTTCTAAACATTCCTTAAATGTCAATTAACGGAGTGAAGATATTTGTATGTGTCGTGTTATTTGGGTCGTGTTTCGGAAAAATCCCAAGATAAAAAACCTAACTTTTATTTCCTTAAAAAATTCAGACTACGCTCTCCACTGACGGAAGTAGAAATGGCCCAAAAAACGTAAATTACTCGTTAAATTTCATTTTTTTTGCATTCTGCTCTTGATTTCTTTTTAAGCTCAGCTCCTTATGTTTTTAGTAGAAAGGCAAACTCCACCATCGAACACTAAAAAAGTAGACTTGAGACACAATTCTCAGACGTCTAATAAAAACTATAAATTTTTTTATCTACGATTGAATTTTCTCAAATTGCGATAATTTAATCAAAAAAGTAACCTAAAGTTTTGTTTCGAAAAAACAGAATTTTTTTTCTGTTTCGCTGCCTTATTAAGAGTCGATGAACTTAAATCAGACTTTTATATAAGTTGCAATGTTTTTTTCGTGTTTCTTTAGGAAATGTCTTAAAGTTTATTAAGGCTCAAATTTACTTCGCGATTTGACTTTCAAGATTTTTTTAAGATCTCAACAGAATTCGAAAAAAAACAATTAACTCGAAAAATAACGATCAATGAATCTTTTGTTGGGTGCCAAAATGTGCGCACAATCTTCCAATTTTAAAGAGATGATCAATGACAACTATCTTTTTTTTCTGTATATCTCGGTAAATAAATTGAACACGAGATTATCAATTATCGGGGCAATAACTAAACTAAAGTTGGTTTTAATATTGACCGTTTTTTGAAATTCATTTGAAGGAAAGCTCAGGAAGACTGGTAATTGTCCTTGAGACAATTTTTTTTTTTTAGTGATCAGGTTTGTATCGAATAGTTAAAAAAAACTATTAAACTTTGCTTTCTAGAAATTCTGCTTCACGCAGAGTTAGAATGTTCTGTAAATTCGGTGACAGTATGGTAGACTATAAACGCAGACTATAAAGGCTCGAACCTAGGCCAAACTGGCCGACATATTTCTAGCTTTACGCTCAGATGTATTGGCCCACTGTTCTTAGAATTGTTTAATTTGCATTCAATTATGTGCACTATACTTTTGAATTTGAATCATTTTACCAACTACAAGCATAAATCAAGAGCTATTTTATACCCCTGGTAGGAAATCCTAAAGAGCAGTACTGGAGAGGATATCCAGGAATGTTTCAAATCAATTTGTTTGTAGTAATTAAAAGCCTGTACTACCCTTACAGAAAGTGATCTTTGCTGAGCAGTTGTCGGAAATTTCGTAATTGCAGTGATGTCTTTCGTTTTGCTCCTCGTACGTGGTCCAAGTTGTTCCTTATAAATTTAAGATAAAAAAAAACCGTTCTTTGTTTTGTCGCATTACATTGAATAGATACTTGAACAGTTCGAAAAAGTAAAACAAAAACGTTGAGTAAGTTGTTTTCGTACATCAAATTATTTTATTTATTTGTCTATGTCTACGTTTAAAAACATTGCTCTAATCAGGTTTCAGTTAGTTGAGATTGGAACGTATTACCCAAAATTAGTATACCATAACAGATTGTCTGGCTCACATAAGATTTGTAGAGCTAAAGAATCGGTTGTTTAGAGAAGAAATCTCAGGCCTTCCGCGCAATGTCTGAAAACGTGGTCAATTTTTTGCATACGTGTTCAACGTGTAGTTTGAATTATTTTTATTATCTACAAACACTCCCAAATACTTGCAAATATTTGTAACTTCAATTGAATTACCCAAAGGAAAGTAATCATTTGAACACTAGTAAGATTTTCATCATTTGTGTTTTACTCTCGCTTACATTTGCCTTGCAATACTAGGTGGTAAAATAGCCGACATATATCTCATCAATTGTATGGCAAAACATGATTGGCGCGTATCTATCGACTATTATTCCACTGGCCCAAAATGTTTTTCTGTAGCAGGCATATCTCGGAAAACAGCTTGCTTCCAGTGCTAAAGGGGTCGCTCAAGCTACCGAGAGACTTCTGGAATTGTTTTCAGAAATTTTAATGATTGTATTTACGATATTTCGTACGAGTGAAGGTGATGAAATTTTTCAAAATAAACCAGTGATGATGACTCGGTTAAAAGTTAGATTTAGACCTTCCTTCATTCGAATATCAATTTTATAATGAACTCGTTTAGTTTTTCCAAAATCTTGCTTTTTCATAAAAACATAGCCCGTCTTTTTAAAATTCGATTAATCTGGTTCGGGCTTTTTTATATGTCATGATCGTTTTTTGCTTGTTTTTTTTCCGGGTCTTTTTGCTTTTTGACTCTTAATAAGACAGACTAATTGAAAAATCGAACGAGAACAAATATTCCGTCCTTTTCTTTGAAAGTAGTGGGAACAATTCACGCCAAATCGTAGAAAATCAATTAACGGAGTATTTGTGTTCGGATGGGTTTTAATTCTCCAGGCAAATTTCGATTTTAAATACGCCATTTTGGGCGTTTTTTTTGTATCTGAAAGGTATTGCTGTCTTGAGCAAAGGTTTAAAAAATATTTCACCTAAAGATATTTTTCGTAAAGTTATAGGAATTTAAAAATGGCGATTCGGGACAATTAGCGCGCTATTTCAATTTTTGCCGTATTAACGCGTCATTTGAATTGAGCTATGCTATTTGGTTTTATAATACTTGCGAATTAGATCTTTGAACTTTAAATAGCATTTGGGGATACTTCAAAAGATTCTCTCAAGTTTTGTATCTTTTTGTGAATATCATCAATTTTTTTGAAAGCGAACATTAGTCCATAGACCTAATATTGCAGTCGGAATCTTCAGGGCTTCGTCTTCATACGACCAGGGTTATTTCTGTTTAATTTTTTTCTCTGTTAAAATGAAATCAAACTCGGCTATCAAGCTGCAAAACAGTAAAAGTCAGACTTTTTCAAATTGGGTTAATTTTATCAAAAAAGTGTTAATCATAAATTGTTCTTGAAATTTAAAAGGTTTTAACGCCATCTATTTTTTCTTTGAAGTTTGAAAATTGAGATTTTTTTTGAAAAACATGTCAGTATTATTTTTGATTGCATCTCTTTTCAAACTATCAATTTGCTATGTTGATTATTCTTATATAAATCTTGGTGTTTTTCTTGTAGGAAGTTTTCTTCAGGCTTGATTTTGTTATTTCGCATTTTGATTTTTGATTTTTTGTTAAGTTCACTTCATTTTTTGTTAAAAGGAAGGCAAACTCCACTACTGAACAGCAAATTTTTAAAGGTCACGAAAAACGTGATTGAATAATTTCGAAATGCATTTTATTCATGTTTACCCAGCGAAATGAAAATTTCATTTTTTGATTCAGTTCTCTCAGTTTGGGTTAGTGTTATCAAGAAAGTCCAGTTATAGATTATTCTAGACTTCAAAGAGCTTTAAGGGCATTTATTTTTTTCTGTGGACATTTTTTCTACACAATTGGAAAACAGTTGAAGTTGCTTGTCTTTGTGGATGATTTGAGTTATCTCAAATAAGAGTGTTCTTAGTCAAAAATGCATTTTTATTGTACTTACAAAATTGTTTTGTATTTTTAAAGGAAGAGTTTATAGGGTCGATATTTGAACTACGCCTTTTAAGGTTGTTAGAATTTTAATTCCAGAATTATCTAAGGCTAAATTTGAAAACCATGTCGAATTGTCTCAGGCTTAATTGCCTGTCAATTTTATAATATAATATTTCCTTGTTTGCTATTCTTAGCTAATGTTCGGAGTGATTGAGAGTTATGATTGTCTCGGCTAATGAGTTTACTTGTCACTTTTTACCAGGTGATCTGTTTTCAGACCCAAATACGTGGTGACAGAAAAAACAGTAGAACGAGTAGGAACTGCAGGCAGTAGTAATTTGAGCAGTAGTGTGGCAACAAACAGTCCTTTGTCTTTCAAACTACAAAACAATCCTGATTTGGACCAAGCTACCAGCTCTGCTAAACAAATTGGCACGCATAAGTCTCGTGCTGTGCCGAGAAACCAACCCACCGCAAGGCGTGGAGACTCTAATTCCGGGGACGCAGCTGGACCCGACTGGAAACACAGAACTGGTGAACATGTATGTGCATTTGAATATTATTTGGTTCAGATCGCGAGCCATTCAAATGCGATTTACATGTTGCTGAAATATGGTAGTTATACAAAGGACTAGACAGAATAATAAACAAGAAGCAATAAATTTTAGTTCTTAGTGGCTCTGATTAAATTGTTGACTTAACTTAAAAACCTGAATAGACTATCAAACCGCTACCTGTCTTAATTCGGTCATGGTTGGCGGGGTCCCAGTTTCATCTGCCTCCTCAAGGCTATGGCAAAGTTGTTCACATCTCCACTCCCCCACGGATGTTCATGCATTGAGTAGGACCGGGTGTTAGAAAAAAGAAACAAAAACCCTGCCCAGATATTTATTTTCAAGTATATTTTGTATAAACAAAACAAGTTGTCCAAAAATGCACCGAAATTGCCTAGCTTTATTTTGAAAGAAAAAGGAACATAGGCCATTAATTATCTTGATTAAAACCGTATGTTGTGTCGAGGACCGGCTCGTCTAAGTTTCGAATGGTATTTGTTTAGTCTTTTGCTCGTAATCTGCTTTTCTATATCTAAATTAAATCTTCAATAAATTTGCAGGACACATGGGAAAAAAGCTCTCCAATGTCAAGCAGACGTCAAAAGGAATCAAATCTGGGCTCGGAATCTAAAACAGCGATTAGTACAATGTCCAATTGTGGTAAAAGTAATATCTCAAGCAAGCCCTCCTCAACTAAACGGAGTCAAGACATGCACAGACACTCACAGTCGCCCAGCTCGAAGAAATCAGGGGCTCAGTCTGACAAAAGTAGTTCAGCGCAGGGTTTGTTGTCCAGAGAAAATAGCAGAAACAAACGAACCGTAGACTCCAAAGTCAAAACTAAAAGCCGCTCATCAAAATCCAAATAAAGGAATATATAAACCTTTTAATACATATATATATATATATATTTGCTGTTGCTTTTCTAGGTTGTTAAGTGTCAATGAACGGATTAAAGGCGCTTATTTAGATCGTTTGATTCTCTTTGATTGGTTTTAAAGTCATTTCTTTGGTTTTTTTTTCATTCATTTTTTTGATGCACTTTGGAACCCAATAACGATTGCAAATGGCACAAAGAAGCATGATTGATTTTCAGATTTAAGTTTTTAGATTTCTTACGTTATATGAAAAGTATTTACTATTGATCCACTTTTATCAAATGGGTTAGTTTTGCGATTCAAGTGTCCGTCATGAAAGATCATCAAAATCGAAAGAACTTTATTTTTTGAAGGTATCTTCATTTTCCGTGTGAAGCTAAAAAAAATGCAGAAAAAATTTCAACATTTTTTTTCACTGAAGTTCATTGATACTTTTTCAACTGCCGGTTGTTTAAGTTTGGTATGCCTTGAAACTAAAGTTTGCTTTTTGTAGTTTAATTTTATAGGCCCCATGAAACCAGTTTGGTGCTAATATAAATAGCTTGTTTAACCCACTAAATTTAAGTATTGAACAACCTGTAAATACCATGTAAATTGTAAATAAATGTTTTGTTAATATTATTTTTATTTTTTTCTGCTATGATGAGTGAACAATTCGCAGCTTGAAACGGAGTTTTTTAGACACTCTTATCAACTGGCCTAGAAAATAGAGCATACACGAAATGAAACGTAAACAAGAATGGCCGATTGCTGTGCAAGTTGCACAGAAAGTTCGGATCGCAATATTTAAAAACTATTAAAAAAGTACCTTTTTATAAATTATGTTTTCTATTCATGGTCTGATGAGAGTATCTCATTGAAAGCCTAAAACTTATGCATATTAAATGATAAAAGATAAATTAAGTGTTTTCGTACAATTTAGTGGGACAGAATTAATCAAAAAATGAATGTTAAAACAAAAATATCAGAAAAATTAACTTTCTCACAATCGGAAGTAAGATCCGAAAAAAGTTTTCTGGATAAGGAGCTAAAAGAAACTTCGAAAACTAAATTTACTAGAATTAAACTAAAGGTTTACGGCTTCACTTGAAATAAAGCCATAGTAAGCCTATTTTAAGCTCTACTCGCTCGCTTCAGTCACTCAAAATTAGATTAAAACTCCCAATGTTTGAACTCGTTTTTTCTCGACACTGAGGGAGCTTGACATTTTTTATGTCGTTTGAATCACGGTTGAACTGTTCTTGAATCTCATATATCACTTAAACAGTTCCAATGGTTATTTGTGGTTCTTGATTTGAGTGGAAAACAAAGCAAGGATAGACGGAATTTCTACAAAAAGGGTTCATTATCTCCATATTATTATGAGTGAAAAACTGAATAACAAAGACAAAAATTAACAAAGAAATTGTATAAATTGTAATTGATTACTTAAACTAAATTTTAGACTTAAGAACAATTTTTGTTTACCAAAAAATGTTAATGGAAATCTTTAAGAGAAACTTTAATCTTTACAGAAAAAAGTAAAATTAACTAATACATCAAAAGATGAAAAAACTCCCGTGTTTTAATAGTTGGAACAAAAAAAAAGAATTATAAAACACAGGAAGACAAAGCTCGTCCTGATTTTTAACAAGGAAAAATAGCCCTTTCGGACGCTTCTGGTTCGAAATCAACATGTTGACAATCGGCGAGTAATGTTAGCTTGCTCAGCTCCGCTAAATTCAATACGAGAAGAATTGCGACCGAATCAATGCGGCTGTTTATCTACATTTTTATGCGAAGGCTGTCCAAAAATGGCTGTTGTTAAATGTACAAGTGGGGCACCATTTGGATGTTGAGAGTATCAAAATGTTAGGTGAGGGGGCGTTGGGCTTTACTTATTCCGCTCAACATTAAATATTTTGCTTAATTTGAAATTTTTATTTAATTTTGGGCGGAATAAGTAAAGGTCCAACGCCGCCTCACCTCGAATTTTGATACTCTTAGCATCCAAATGGTGCCCCGCTTGTACATTTAACAATTTAACATTTTACATTTTGGACGGCCTTCGCATAAAAATGTAGATAAACAGCCTCAATTAAGCGTCAATCCGGGACCGCCAGATGACAAATGGACTCGAATCTAAGCAAATTTATGCGGAGAGCGTACCAATTGTAAATAATCGCAATAAATTTGCTCAAATCATCAGAGAAAATGCCAAATTTTTGCCGGCAATTTAACTTATTTTTAATTACTTTGTGAAACTATTGTAATATAAAGTCGAAACTTAAAATTTGTTTAATTTGAAATTTTTTTATTAATTTTCAACTTTATATTACAATAGTTTCACAAAGTAAAAAAAACTAAGTTAAATTGCCTGCAAAATTTGGTATTTTCTCTGATGATTTGAGCAAATTTATTGCGATTAATTACAATTTGTACGCTCTCCGCATAAATTTGCATAGATTCGAGTCCATTTGTCATCTGCCGGTCCCTGATTGACGCTTAATTGAGGCTGTTTATCTACATTTTTACGCAAAGGCTGTCCAAAAATGGCTGTTGTTAAATGTACAAGCGGGGCACCATTTGGATGTTGAGAGTATCAAAATGTTAGGTGAGGGGGCGTTGGGCCTTTACTTATTCCGCTCAAAATTAAATATTTTGCTTAATTTGAAATTTTTATTTAATTTTGGGCGGAATAAGTAAAAGGCCCAACGCCCCCTCACCTAGAATTTTGATACTCTCAGCATATAAATGGTGTCCCGCTTGTACATTTAACAACAGCCATTTTTGGACAGCCTTCGCATAAAAATTTAGATAAACAGCCTCAATTAAGCGTCAATCCGGGACCGCCAGATGACAAATGGACTCGAATCTAAGCAAATTTATGCGGAGAGCGTACAAATTGTGAACCATCGCAATAAATTTTCTCAAAACATCAGAGAAAATGCCAAATTTTTGCCGGGAATTTAACTTAATTTTATTTACTCTGTGAAACTATTGTAATATAAAGTTGAAACTTAAAATTTTGTTTAATTTGAAATTTTTATTAATTTTCAACTTTATATTACAATAGTTTCACAAAGTAAAAAAAAATCAATCTTTTTGTACTTTATATGGAGAGTGGGGGGAGGATTTTCATAAAAACTTTCAAGTTTTAGAATTCCTTTTTTCAATAGTTATATTACAAAAGTTTCACAAAGTAAATAAAATGAGTTAAATTGCCTGCAAAAATTTGGCATTTTCTCTGATCATTTGAGCAAATTTATTGCGATTAATTACATTTTGTACGCTCTCCGCATAAATTTGCATAGATTCGAGTCCATTTGTCATCTGGCGGTCCAAGATTGACGCTTAATTTTCTTCATTTGCATTTCTCCATTTCGATTCGATAAAGTTTGTAAGGCAGAAAAACAAAGTTTGCGTCGACAAAATTGCTCGGAAAATATTATCATCAAACATTTTGTTAGTGTTTTCCAGAAACGTGTTTTTTCGCAAACTGTTACAACCGTTTATTCACCATTTGCAACCAGCCTCATTACAACCATTTTTTTGACATCGCCATCTAGAATCTTTCTCTGAAAGCTTTAATTTTAATTCGTGTCCCTTCAAACAAATTGAGGGTTACTCAAATTTTTATTCTGCTGATTACTTAAAATTTTATTTGAAGTTCTGATTCAATGGATCTTTTTTATCCGGGCAAAGTTTGATCAGTGATATGAAATTAATTTGATTATTTGACAAACATTTTAAATTTTTGGTCATTTCGGCTTATTTTATTATCTGCCTTAAAATTAATGGCTTAGTTTAGAATGCTGCTTAGGCATGATTGGCCGAAACTGGCCAATCAAATTCGAGCAGCACACCGAGTATTCAAGTTTTAGTTCAAGTTGTTGAGTTATTGGTTTTGGGAGCATTAACTCATACTTGTCAACGGGCCGGGTCGAGCCGAGGTTTTCACTTTTGTCAACGGACCCCAACGGACCCCAACGGGCCTTACTTTTAATGACTAACCAATTTTATGTTTCAGAGTTGCGCGAAAGGTGCTTGGAACGCAGGCCAGTTCCGGGCAGTCGGAGAGGCTTTACTCTGATTGCGGCCTGACGGTATCCGAAAGACGGGCAAAACTTTCGTCTACAACTGTTGAGGCAATTGAAATGGTTTCCATGGCTTATAAAAAAGGCCTTTATAAATAAGTAAAGCAATTAATTAAAATTGTTTTGAAACGAATTTTTTTTTAACCAAAAAAGCAGCAACGGGCCCCAACGGGCCGATATTTAATAAATTCCCTGTTTATCGGGCCGCCAACGGGTTCGACTTAAATTATATTGGGCCGAGCCGGGCCGGGCCTGACTTAACTAGAACTGAAGTTCCATTTTTTGACGTGTTACAACCGTTTTTTCACCATTTGCAACCAGCCTCATTACAACCATTTTTTTGACATCGCCATCTAGAATCTTTCTCTGAAAGTTTTAATTTTAATTCGTGTCCCTTCAAACAAATTGAGGGTTACTCAAATTTTTATTCTGCTGATTACTTAAAATTTTATTTAAAGTTCTGATTCAATGGATCTTTTTTATCCGGGAAAAGTTTGATCAGTGATATGAAATTAATTTGATTATTTGACAAAAATTTTAAATTTTTGGTCATTTCGGCTTATTTTATTATCTGCCTTAAAATTAATGGCTTAGTTTAGAATGCTGCTTAGGCATGATTGGCCGAAACTGGCCATTCAAATTCGAGCAGCACACCGAGTGTTCAAGTTTTAGTTCAAGTTGTTGAGTTATTGGTTTTGGGAGCATTAAGTAAAAAAAAACTTGGGTTTCCTCTCTCCTTTAATTGTCTAATATTTAGCTCGGAGTCTGAAGTGAAATTTAGGAGCAAGTTCATTTTGTTCAGCATGGTAACATGAGTTTGCAAGCTCATGAATGGTGCATTAAAAACTATTCAATAAGTTTACGTTTCTGATATGTGAAATAATTCAATAAAAATATCAAGTGTCTGTCCGAGTGGCTATAGTTATAAACTTTGTCCTGAAATTGTCCGCATCACTTAACTCATAATTGTCAACGGGCCGGGCCGGGCCGGGCCGGGCCGAGC